CGGCCCCACAACCACGTTGGTTGGATGCCCTGTCACAGTACAGTTGCCACAAGTCCCCAATGTATAACCTCCAATTCGTCTTAGGTTGAATTTGATCAGACTGAAATTCAGCAAGGCTTCCAGTGAATTCAGCGACAAAGTCGGCAAGCACTTGTCCCTTGATTGAGGTCCTCGGCAGAAATTGAATATCGTACTGGCTGAGTTTGAGAGCCCACTTCGAAATGCGCCTTGATGCCTCTGCACTTCGAAGTACTGACCGAAGGGGGTAATCCGTTAATACCCCAATGGTATGCCCCTGAAAGTAATGCATCAGTTTTCTTGCTGCCATGACGAGAGCAAGGATGAGTTTTTCCAATGGAAGGTAATGTGTTTTGGCATCAACCATTGCTTTACTTACATAATACACTGGCCGTTGCTCCCCAAGTTCTTCCTTTAATAGTACAGCGTTGACGGCCCGATCGAAAATTGCCAGATATAATATGAGAGGATCACCTGCTGAAGGTGTTGTCCAAAGTGGAACTGATCGGAGGTAAGTCTTCAAACTGCTCAAAGCGGCTTCGCACTCGGAGGTCCATTCGAAAGCTTTGGTCTGCCGAAGGGTATAAAAGAATTGTCGGCAGCGATCTGTGGATCGACTGATGAACCTGTTGAGTACGGTAGCCATCCCCATCAGCTTTTGAACCTCCTTGATCGACCGAGGAGAGCCGAGTTCTAGAATTGCTGTGATTTGCCTCGGGTTGGCTTCGATTCTGCTGTGGTTAACAATGTAGCTAAGGAATTTGCCAGATCCGATCCCAAGTGCACACTTGGAGGCGTTTAGCTTCATTTTGTACTTGTGCAGAATACCAAATGTCTCTTCTAGGTCGGCTAGATGAGTTTTTTCTTCTTTGGACTTGACCACCATATCGTCAATGTACACCTCCATAGTATGGCCGAGTTGCTCTTTGAACATGGTAGTGACCAATCTTTGGTAAGTTGCCCCTGCATTCTTCAGCCCGAAAGGCATAACCTTATAGCAGTAGGTTCCTCTTGGGGTGAGGAATGCAGTCTTTTCTTGATCCTCCAGATGCATGGCAATTTGATGGTAGCCCCTGTAAGCATCCAGGAAGCTCATACGTTGATGGTGTGCCGTGGCATCCACAAGTTGGTCTATTCTGGGGAGAGGAAAGCAGTCCCTGGGGCAAGCTTCGTTTAAATCCGTGAAATCCACACAAACGCGCCAAGTCCCATTTTTCTTCTTTACCACCATTGTATTTGATAGCCATGTAGGATAGGTCACTTCCCGGATTGCTCCGACATCAAGCAACCGGTCAACTTCTTCAACAATGGCAGCAGCATGCTCTGCGGCTAATCGTCGACTTTTCTGAATAATCGGCTTACATTTGGGGTCAACATTTAGACGGTGCTGAGAGACGGACGGATCTACCCCCGACATCTCATACGGCGACCATGCAAATACATCCAAGTTGCCGAGTAAGAAGGAAATCAGCTGTTGCCTGTCAGCTTTATTTAGGGAGGCGCCGACCATGAAGAACCTATCAGGGTTCCCATCAATTTCAACTCGGTCCAAGGCTTCCATTGCCTTTTCACTTGGGAGCCGCCCAACATTGTCGAGGCTCTCCTGATCCGGTGCCTCAATAGAATTCACTTCTAGCTTTCTTAGTGTTTTTGCAGCAAGAAGATAACACGCTTGTGCCGATTTTTGGGAACCACGAATTTGTTCAATGCCGTGTTCAGTAGGGAAGCGAAGTAGTTGGTGGTAGGTGCTTGGAATAGCTTGCATGATGTGCAGCCAGGTTCGTCCCATGATGAGATTATACGACGAGGGAAGCTTGACAATGAAAAATTCAACATCCACTGATCGGGAGCCCGCCCGAACTGGTAATGTGATTTTGCCCAACGAGTATTCTGAATTAGCGTTGAAACCGAATAACGGGTAATGAGCCGGAGACAGGTCTGAGTCAGTGAAGCCCAGTTTGATGAAAGTCTTGTAGTACATAACTTTTGAAGTACTCCCCTGATCAATGAGAACACGTTCAATGGTGAATCGGTTTACGTGTAGTTTGATGACCAAGGGATCAATGTGCGGGAGCGTTATGCCGACCAAATCAGCATCATCAAAAGAAAGACTCGGTGCTTCATGGGGCCGTTTCGCTGATGTGAGTTGCCTCTGGCGGTCAGGATGCGACTGAATTGTACGCACCGCGAAAGCTGTTGGCAGGGTGTAAATCATATGGATTACACTAAGTGGAGGTGATTCTTGTCGTAAAGAAATTGTCTTGGTGGAACTGTTCTTCCGGACGTGTTGCTTAAGCCGACCGTCTTGTACCAACTCCTCAAGATGATCTTTCAAGGCATAGCACCTGTCGGTATCTTGTCCGTGGTCTTTATGATATTCGCACCGTCAATCCTGTCTCCTCGTGTCAGGTGGTCCGACCATCTTGGATGGCCATTTGAAGAACAAAAGATGTTGAATTTTAGACATACCGTGCCAATTGGCTCCGACAACTCCGTATATTTCTTCTCCGCGTGCCTGGTGCGCCTGCTATCCACTTGAAGTTGTTCATTAGCCTGTGGCGGACATTGTTCGTTTGATCGGCGTGAATCTCGTCTTCTGTCACATTTAGACCGACTCCGTCGTTTAGGGCTCTGTGAGGGTACAGAACTTATCGGCTGAACGATCTCAGATGGGGCCGTCTTGATTGCCTTGTGCCCGGTTTTAACCCGCAGGGCGTCATCCTCCACTTTGCAGTATTCCTCTACTTTCTTCATTAGCGACCAGACTATTTTTGGGGGCTTTCTGGTCAAGGAGCTACGGAGGGCACTATCAGGATGTAACCCCATTTTAAAGGCGGTGATGGCCATGGAGTCGTTGCATGCATTATCTACGAGATTAAAGCATTCTCAATAGCGCGCCGAATAAGCACGTAGGGTCTCCCCTGATTGAATTTGCATTGCCCAGAGAGAATCGGCCTGCTTCGGCTGGACCTCATTGGTGCTGGACCTCGTTGGTGATGAACCTTGCTTTGAAGGATTTTTGGAGCTGGTGGAAGCTCTTAATGGATGCCGGCTCCAATTTATAATATCATCTGACGGCCAATGGTCGCAAACTGCTGGGAAATATTCTACACATGAGGGCCTCGTCGTCTGAATGCAGTGTCGTGGCTTGCTTGTAATGACGGATATGATCGGTGGGGCCTGATTTGCCATCATACAGGGTGAACGATGGAGCTTTGAACTTTTTGGGTAGTACTGCCCTTGAGATCCGTCGCACAAAGGGGTCATGTTGATCCTCTTCATCTAAATCATTTCTTATTCGTTTAGTCCTTGAACGCGGACTCCCCTCGGAAGAACTGGAGACCACGACCCGTCATTTCTTTTTGGATTCTGGGGATGACGAGTCAGAATTAGTGCTATTGTCTTGTCTCCGAATTCGAGGTCGTCGACGATCCTTTCTCAGAGGTCGTTCCGGATCTTGGCGCACAACCTGTTGGGATTTTGCCACCTCCAGGGCTAAATCTTGTCGAAGGCGCTCATTCTCCGCCATCATGTTCTCCAACCTCTGTTTGTTTTGCTTCGCTTGATCCATAATTGCTTTCATTGTCTCACGTGCTGATGTCGAGGGTGAGGTCGGGGTAGTTGAGTTGAAGTTCAAAGCTCTTCGTGCGTTAACGTTTTCTGGTCCAAGCAGGTTGCTTGGAGTGGTATCAACATGTGGTGTAAGGTCGTCAGCGACTACCGGAGGATCTTCCTTCACGCCCGCCATGGATGTGCTGGAGTAATTCCCACAGATGGCGCCAATTGTGGTGATGTGGTTTGGAAATACTCTTTGAATCCAATGTGACACTCGAGATCCTCAGCCAATCACCTGAAAAGGAATGAACACTCCGGTTGGTGGTGCCAGAATTAGCACTCCGACGGATAAGTCAGTATATATCTCACGTTTGCTTAAGTCTTAAGTTTCTTGGATTTTTTCACTCATACCTCTATTTTGGCTGTCCTTCCTTTATATATACTTGTTTTGTGGGCCTCAGGGTTTGGCCCACTTTTAATCCACCCTGTGAATGTTCACTCGGCTTCTTCCGTCATGAATCAATTCCCACTCGGCTCCTTGCTTAACTAGTTTTGCGACCGACTAGGATGTTTGGCTTCCGAGTGATGCAAGATGGGGCGAATGAGATGTTCACATAATAAGCTTCCAAGTATGTACTTGGCCTTTCTGCAATCATCAAAACTCGGCTCCCACACAATGTTTTAGGAGACAAAAGGTTAAGTTTAATCTATAAATGGAATAAAACAATAATACTCAAAAAACTAAACACATAATGAAATATAGATATCTTACAAAGGGTGAGATCCCCAAGGATGGATCTAGGGGGTGTAGAGGGAGGCGACCACACTCCCAAAAATTTAGAAAATATCATATATTATGTTAGAAAATTTTAAATAATTAAAAATAATAAGGATTTACACCTCCAAATATACGTGGGACCTACCTTTTATGAGATATCTATATCTCATTTTTTGTCTTGTTTAGTCAAGCCTTCACGTCATGCTGTGGTAGCTTTATCTAGCCTAAAATTAAAAAAAAATTGTAATTCAAAAGCATGATCCAGGTTTGATCCCAAGACTTTAAGTTTCATTAAGAACAATCTTACCACTTAGACAACATAAATATTTTGATATTAATTTTTTTATTATTTATTTTTATTCTTACTTATCTGAATTGCACACGCATTGCGTGTGTCACTTGCTAATCATTATTTACATGATTTATCATTTTTAATATACAAATCCATATATATATATATATATATTTATTTATTTATTTATTTTGAACATTTTGATCATAAATTTGGATAGAAATCTGGAAAGACAATGGGAAATAAAAAAAAATAATTTATATTTTGTTGACATTGCTTTTACAATTTTTTTTTTAAATCTTTACTGAAATTCATAATCCACACATATAATAAAATTTTGGCTCATCAATATGAGAAACATGTCTCATCAATCATTACTGACGTTGAATTCCAATATACAAGCCTATTTCATTCTGTTATAAAACAAGATGACTAAATGAATCTTTGCAGGTTTCTTTCCCAAAGTTGAAGACACTAGTTCTCGATAATTGTGTAAACTCAAGAGAGATACATCCTTGGAATCTTCAGGCTAGCAAAATAAGTTTAAAATTCTTGGACGTAGCGAATCTGGACAAGTTAATTGTGAGAAATTGTAGTGAGGTGGCAGAGGTTTTTCAACTTGAGGGGCTAAATGTTGGAGAAGGACAACATGTTAGGCCATTAATTGAAGTAAGAATGATGGAATTGGATGGATTACCTCAATTGACATGTTTGTGGAACAAAGATCCCCATGGAATTCTGGGCCTTCAAAGCCTACAATACCTAACAATTAAGAAATGTTCCCTCTTGAGAAATCTATTCACATGTTCCACCGCCATGGCTCTTCAACAACTTAAAGTACTTTATTTGAAGTCTTGTCCAGTGATGGAAGAAGTTATTGCAGCAACAGAGGATGGGCTCAAGGAAGTGATTGATGTGATTGAATTCCCAAAGTTGGAGTGGCTAATACTGAAAGATCTACCAAACCTCAACAGTTTCTGTAATGCAAACTATAATTTTAATTTGCCATCATTAAACAGAGTTGTTCTGAAGAGGTGTCCGGATATGCACAACTTTACTTTGGGACAAGTACGCATGTCACAGATATTTGTAAGTACACGTGGCAATGAAGGCCTTTGGACAGAAGATCTCAATAAGTATTTAGAGGAACGACTTCTGAAAGGAGAGGTAGACTTTCTTTTTCAACTTGATTTACGGTTAATTATTTTTGTCAGTTGATGAACTCTTTTATCTTTGAACATTTACAAGAGACTACTAAACTGGAGTGCTTCATATGTATTTTTTGTTTATATGTATTTTACTTTCTTTTCTTTTAGGAATGCGCAACCGTGGATGAAAGTGATTTTGACATCGAAGAAGAAGAGTTCTCTAACCTTTATTGGCTAGATGAGTAAAGTAAGTTGATCATCCTTTATTATTAATATATATGTATAAATTTCATAATATTTATAAGAAAATTTTATAATAAACACGTTAAAAAAAAAGTGTATCATATGTCTAGTTATGATTTTATAAGCTGAATGTAATAAGTTGATATCCTCCTTTATTTAAAAAAAAAATAAAAATAAAATTACGATGGTGGTCCCTATATTTTGCTTGTGTCATTTTGGTCTATATGCTTTCAATTACCTCAATTTTAACTCCTAATTTTAAATTTTATTTTAATTTGGTCCAATTAATAATATTGTTAGTTTTTTTTTTTTTTATAAGGAAAATCACTAAATTGATTGAGATTAATTAAATGAGTTGAGTAAGTTTATAATTTTACCCTTAAGAATATGGCACATGATACTTATATGTGTATTTTTCATTAAAAAATGCTAAGAGTTGTAATTGAATCAAATTGAGATAAAATCATAAATTTAGGGTCAAAATCGAGCCGATTGAAAATACAAAGACTAAAATGACGCAAGAGGTAAAGTACAGGGACTATTGTCTTAATTTTCCCAATATATATATATATATATAGGGTAATGCTACCATATACAAGTTATGTTATTTGTGAGTTTGATTATCACAAATGACATAACTCAATACTATGGGAATCATATATATATAAAAAATAAATAAATAAAAACTTTTGAGTTATAACCAAACATCACATTAGGTATAACCAAACAACTTTTAAATTATCACCGAAATAATTTCATAACCAATATCACAACGTGTCATAACTAACAAGATAACAGGTCATGATCAAAGACACAAAAGTGTAAACCAAAGCATAGAATTTCCGAATATTATATATATATATATATTTCATAATATTTATAAGGGAATTCTATATAACACTTTAACAAATGATGTATTATATGCCTGACTTTTTGTAGTCATTAGTTATGACTTATTTAATTATAATTAATTATAGATGTTATTTTGGTTATAATTGAAGAAATTTTTGATAATACCTCAAGTGATATTAGATTATGATGTGTTTTGGTGTTGGTTATAACTCGCTGTAATGTTGGCTATTTGATGAAAGTCTTGTAGTACGTAACTTTTGAAGTACTCCCCTGATCAATGAGAGCACGTTCAACGGTGAATCGATTTACGCGTAGTTCGATGACCAAGGGATCAATGTGCGGGAGCGTTATGCTGACCAAATCAGCATCATCAAAAGAAATACTCGGTGCTTCATGGGGCCGTTTTGCTGGTGTGAGTTGCTTCTGGCGGTCGGAATGCGACTGAATTGTACGCACTGCGGAAGCTGTTGACTGGGTGTAAATCATATGGATTACGCCGAGTGGAGGTGATTCTTGTCGTAAAGCAATTGTCTTGGTGGAACTGTTCTTCCGGACGTATTGCTTAAGCCGACCATCTTGTACCAACTCCTCAAGATGATCTTTCAAGGCATAGCACCTATCGGTATCATGTCTGTGGTCTTTATGACATTCGCACTGTCAATCCCGTCTCCTCGTGTCAGGTGGTCTGACCATCCTGGATGGCCATTTGAAGAACAAAAGATGTTAAATTTTAGACATAACCATGCTAATCGGCTCCGACAACTCCATATATTTCTTCTCCGCACGCCTGGTGCGCCTGCTATCCACTTGAAGTTGTTCACTAGCCCATGGCGGACATTGTTCGTTTGATCGGCGTGAATCTCGTCTTCTGTCACGTTTAGACCGACTCCGT